ATAAGGACATGTTGATTTGCAACAGATGTTGGTTTGCACCAGAACAGTTATTAGGCCAGTGCGCCTCGAACCGAATCACTCTGCCGTACGTGCACATGGGAGGATGGATGGGTGGGAAAGAGAAAGTCACGTGGAGGCCAAACATCTCCAGATTTTTTTAAGGCCAAGGTACAGAGAATCAATACAGGAAGAATATTGGTGTTTCCTAGCTAGTCACCACGCGGCCAGCCAAATCTTTATGGCTGATTTTGTGTGACTATACATTTTGGTCCTAAATGCCGTTTTGAATGCGACGCAGCAGGCTGTACACTCGGTGTCGAGCAGTTATGCGAATAAAACTCGCTTTGTTTTGATCAAGCAAAAATGGAAATCGCAGCTAAGGTAAGAAACACTAGATGGTTGAAAATAATATCCAAAACACTTGGAAAAAGAGAAGAAATTTGCGGTCAAAGAAGAGTCAAAAGGGTAAAGCACATAAATATCGAGGTATTCTCAATGAATTTCAAAAGAAAGACGTTTGTAACATGCGACAGACTAACGATTTTTTCAAGTTGCGAACAGTTTAAATTAGAACAGGAACACGCTTTTCCAAACCAATCGTGATAATATGATCTCGAATTCTAAAAATCACCTTGCATACCAGCGGTAGTAGTTGTTTTGGTGTTTTGTCTTGGTTACTGTTCCTATTGATGGTAGTCTCGTTCTGTATTGGTTTACTTGTTCAGGTTGCTGAGTATCTTCAATACTGAGCAAATATTTTTTTATATGATGAATTTACGTGCACCTCTTCCATCGAATAAGTTCAACAAAGCACACAGTAACTGCGGTTTCCGATACTAAAACAATCCATTGATTGTTTTTCCATACTTCAATTACCAACCAGGCTGAATACTCAGCACCAAAATTTTATATGATGAATTCGTCGTGCAAATGAAGCGTGAGTTGATAAGCTAGGAAGCACTGTAGAGCTGTTTCGACCTCGTTGGGTCTTATCAACAGTGCGAATCCACCGACCCAAATGGGGCTCGAACCCGGGACATCAGAGGTAGAACGCAGGCATACTACCCAGTCGGCCCCCAGGCAGCTGATTACACCGTTTCTCATTTTGAATATATACGAAATAACCCACGAGGCTAGTGCTGGGATGAGCGAGGAGCGATACTCGCAACAAGCAAGCAAACATGGGTTGCATAATATCGTTTATATCCGCTTAGTAAATGAAAGCAGATTAAACATGACCCATAGTAGAATATGCACACATGCCAGTAGGAACAGAGCGATCCAATACCTGAATGATTTTGAATGTAACGGACCATCCTTCAGATTTTGCCTTCACGCACAATCCCCAATTCATCCGGCCAACCATACACATTCAACACACTGTTATTTGAGAGTAGTGGTGTGGGATAATTCATATTGATTTGAACTGACCACTGATCAGAAATAACTGTGATTTGAATGTGAATTACTACTTAAACCTAGTAGGTTTGTGGCAAGTCAGCCCGTAACCTGCATGGAAGACCTGATTTGGTGAAGGCTTTCGATTGCAGTTAACAGATAATCAACTGCGTCTTTCTTCGTTGTTGTCCGGCCAAAAGAATGTTACTAGCTATTACTGAAGATAACACCGCAACAAACATGAATTGGCATTCTGTTCAGCCCTGATATGAGCTGATTAGTGTAGTGGTAAAACACACGCCTTCTATGCGATTGGTCCGGAGTTCATATCCCGGACTGGACAGTGAATATGCACTGCTGAGGAGCTCTAATAAGTGCGAAACTTGATTCTGTTGTTTCCAAGTGTATGGTTGACTGGAATACTTAAGGATTGTGCATGAAAGTAAAGTCTGAAGGACGGTCAGTTCAAATCAATTTCCATTGTTCCACACCACTGCCCACAAGTAATTGTGAGTAAAGCGTGAAATGAATGAATAATGGTTTAGAACCTCCAGCCCCCTTTATCCATTTTATCAATACAGAAGGTAGACAAATGAAGCGAGATGTTAAAATTTCAGCAGTTAAGGAGATTAAACGAAATTTGTCTTCTTTGCTTATTGATGTATCGAGTTTGTGTAAAATTACATTTGTATCCGTCATAGAATGCCCAACTGATGGGAGACACACGGTTGAATTACTGCTGGGTGGCTGTGCTTCAAAATATTATGTGGCAATCCAAATGCATTGCTTTTCCAGTAGAAGGCCACAAGACGGTCTCAGTATTAAATATGATCTGAAATGGCATGATATTTGGTAATAAAGTTTCATAAAAGTGCACAACTGTGCTAAAATGCTCTCCTCGTTCGAACCCCTTTTCAAACAGATTTCAAGACACCTTGAAAAAATTTCCCCGGAGGAGTCGATGTCGAACCGAAATGACGCACAATCATATGCAAACTCTCCTGACATCTTTTTTAACGAAATAACCTTTTTCACTAATCAAATTCCATTCCCTTAAGAATCGATTTAAGATGCCAAGTTCGATTTGCCAGATTGGTGTACCACCTTGTTTCGTGTTGTGCACTTTTATAGGTGGGATCCAGATTATTGACAGAATATTAGCCGCTTGATAAATCGTGTATCAGGTAACTGACGGGGTAAATGGTGTAAATGGCACAAATTGAGATAATCGTCTCAATAGCCTAGACACTTTGTTCAAATTCCATCGGCTGACGAAAGCTGTGTGAATATTGTACGCGACAATTGTTTCATGCCTAATTGCTTCTGTCCATCGTGTACCACATTTAGCGCGTGCAAACGTCAGTTTCCGTCCGCGTCAGTGCCCCGTACTACTTGATAGATCAAAACAAATGAAAAAACCCAAGGATAATCACATACGTATGAACCTCATTGACATAAACAATAAATAAATGCCCTTTTACTTCCATTTTATTCATTGTATACACAAATGTACAGTCAAATTTCAGGAAGGGGGCTACGGCCACACAAAGGTTACCTGGGGAAATACAGAAATAGAGAAGACGGATGGCGGTGGAATGATTCGAACCCGGGACTCCTGGGTCGAAATTTGCTGATCTATCCACTTGGCCACCACTGCCATCAGTGTACGGTAGCTGGGGGATTGACACAACGCATAACCGCTAATTTTATACCACAGTCAAAGTGTATTGCGATTTCAGGCCAAGTGGCAAATAAATACAGTACGCAGGATGACAGAATGTGACTATGCCCCTCATTTTCCCTGTAGAAGACTCTGATGTTCAAAAAAGTGGCGAAATTATTCGCTTTAGTAACCGTATTGCCATTTAACTTTTCCTACATAGAAGTAATTCTATGATCTCTTACAAATATCACCCATCAGATAGACTAATTGGTTAAACGATTAGAGAATTACGAGTACCGTCCATTAGCTGTGTTTCCATGATGAAAATGCTTAACCTCAATAATCTGTACACAAAAATCTTCTTCCGGAAGTTTAAGTAAACGTACCCATCTGCAAAAATGTCATTCACCTTTCCTGGTTGGTTTCCGTGCTCTAAATGCGGGAAAATGCAGCAGAATGCACAGAGATTCTGATCCAACTACTGGGTTGATTTATTGATATCTCTGATTTTCAACTTCAGCGCCATCTACTGACTAAATCCTTCAAACTGTGGGAGTCTATCAAAACACTTTTCTGATAGGTTGCAATACACCATTTTTTGGTTTGATCTGTGGGTATGCACTCATTTTGTGGATTGATATTCGTTCTATTCTAGGTTTTTCTGAGTAAATGTTAACTGTTCTACTCATTTCCTATCAGTTCAGCCTGCAGCATTTTAAGAGAACACGCATATAAGTTAAACTGTATAAGGCCACGATTTCACCCCAGTTCCACTAATTACCATTTTACCCTATCAAAGCCTAATCAACTTGTGAATGATCTAGACTGAACTGTGAAACAAGTGACACCGGAAACAACGTGTCCAAGGACAACATTCTTTGTGGTCTGTTCAGTTTAATCTATGTTTTACACAATTTAAAGGGAAATTTACGCAAAATAATCTCCAATGATGAAGGAAAATCAAACCGAGGAAGTAAAATACGGTAGACTAAACAACCCAGTCTCGGACGAGGGTTCTTTCTCATTGTCCTAGCGCTACGGAAGCAAATTTGTTGTATGGAGCTTCACGGATACTGATACTACGTTGATTGGATGTTGCACACTTAAGTAGACACTTCTGGCTGCCTGATTAGTTTGGAATGGACCCACGTTTAAACGGATGTTCATCATTTATTGTCTCTATATTGGGATTTTAGGGTGGCAGGATTAATTTTATAATATGCAAACAAATACTAAAGAGCGCAGTGGCGTAAACACTACAAAGTCTAAAAATAGTTGTTATAGCAAAAGGAAATTCCGTGGAGCACATATTACTGACTGGTTGTACCCGAAATTCATTATCCAGATGAAATCGATCGTACAAAAAGTGCGATGTCTGGGAAATTTTGACAATTTCCCGAAAGTTGCCTTAAAATCAGTTACACCCAAAAGCCGTTTTTATCTAGTACATGTTTTGGGTAGCAGGTTTCGTAGTTGTGTCCGCGTACTTTCTGAAGGCTGCTTTATTCCGGGACTGCCAATCAGAACAACGATAGTTGCACTCAGGTCTTTGACCGTAAGCGAAAACCAATCAAAGCAGTTGATAATATTCCAGTAAACCAAGCATTTCAGTCTTCAGTATTGAGGGCAGATGGTAGGGTGCCCTTGTAAGCCCCATCTTCACTGAACCGAAGGTCCGATCACAAGTGTTTTTTCCTCCATAGCCCCTTCGGGTGCTCATCCAGACGCCGTTCGAAAGCAGAGTTTGTCTTCTACTCGATCACGGTCGCTGGAAGGGAATTTCAGAGTGTTGTTGACCTCCGCGAGAGTCAGTAGACCAACGGAAGACCAACTGACTGAAGTTTCCGCAACGTGAGAGAGTGCCCCCGGGTGCGGTCCTCTGTCCGTAAAGGGAAGTACTGCTGCGACTCCGGGCCCATATCACCTCTCAATATCTTCCTCAGATAGATGAGGTCTCCCCTGGGGCACGATACGCAACTGGGAGCAGACCTTCATAGCTAGTCCCGCGTAGTCCAATAATAAGTCTAGTGGCAGCACGTTGTACAAGTCTTGGTCTGACATAGGAAGCGTACAGAAGTCTGAAAGCGTCCATCGTTGAAAGACCGCCGAATAGGCCCCAGAATGCTCTACGCACTGGCACAGACCCGATCGGTGTTTTTTCCGGGTCTTTAGTGATGACGTAAACATAACTCACAGGTCTCTTCCGCACGATGTTCTGCAAAATGTAGTTCCTTAGAAGTTAGAGTCAGCACAACCAAGTTCAGGTGGGCACACTTTGTGGTGTTGACTAGAAGAGCCCGGGGGTCCGCCCACTGAGTCAGGTTGTTCAAATCCGCTTGGAGAGTATTTCGTTTATCTTCTTCCTCGATTGTACGCCAGATTTTGATATCATCCGCATACACACAGTTGACCGGTTAGGTTGTTCAAATAAACCACAAAGAACAACAGACCAAGAACCGAGCCTTGGGGGACCCCACTGGAAGCGGAAGACCACGCAGATAGCGATTGGCCAACACGGACGTAGAAGTTCCGGTCGATGAGGAAGTCTCGCAGCCAATTCAGCATGACGACGTCTACACCCAGGTTGGACGGCTTTCGCAGAAGGCGGTCGTGCGGCACCTTGCCGAAGGCTTTGCTGAAGTCCACGAAGATGATGTCTGTTTCGTGTCCGTTGGCTTTGCCCTTGGTCCAGCGTTCACGGGCCAGTAGCGGGTTTGAGAGGCATGAGCGACCCGACTGGAAACCGTGCTGTTGGTGGCACAGGTGACCGTGGCACAACAAATGCAGCTACCAGTCGCTCCAGTACTTTACCCACAACACTAGTAAGGCTGACTGGTCGGTATTTTCCAGGGTCACACCTGTCCCCACCTTTGGGTAAGGGAACAATAACAGCATCCTTCCATTGCCGCGGTAAACGTCCCTGTATGAATGACAAATTAAACAGGTTGCCCAGTGACACTGCAAGTTTATCTGTCAGCTCCATAGGATAAGCGGATGCATTCCATCAGGTCCAGGTGACTGGTGAACCTATAGCCGACGCAGCTCCAGGGCCACCTCTCCGATGGTAAATGGAGTCCAGTTCAGGACAGCGTCAGCGCCCAGTGTATGCACCCATGTGCTGAAATCTGGGGTGTACACTGAGGCGTATTGTGATGCCAACATCTTCAGTTTGTCCTCATCTTTTTCGGCTAGTGCCCCATCTTTGGCGAAGGTCGGGAGACCAGGCGTAGCCCTGACTCTTTTCCTGAGGTAGGAATACAATCGCTTTGTTATCTGTACAGAATCCGCTGCGAATCGTTCCTTGAGCTTGGTTCTCTTGCATTTTTTTCAGTGCAGTACTGTGATTCCGAATACTTCGATTTCCTGTTGCACGGTACCTGGACCAGGCTTTATTCCGCTGCCGGAGGCACGCCCGCCCGTCTGGATCAAACTACGGCGGGCCCATGGAGTGTGTTTGGTGGCGGTGGGATGGAGAGAATTCCAGCAAGAGGTGATGAATTCCATGACGAACCAACTCCCAGGATTCATCCACATCCTCAAGGTTTCGGGAATTCCAATTTATGAGCGATGCAGCCTGACGCATTTCCAGAAAGTATAAGCGCCATACGTTTCGTCCGTCCTGTGGTCTGTCAGTTTGGGGTACGCCACGCCTCCAGTGTATAAGCAGAATGGAGTGATCACTAGATGCAATTGGTAGAAGGAGATCGATCTTGGTCATATCTGATTGCCTCGACGAGAGCACCAAGCCAAAGATGAGTTTGTGATCCCCGTGGGCACATGAAAATGCTGAACAAGCGAAAGAGCCCCGGATAGCGAAAAGAAGCTCTCTGGAAAATAAATCCGCGTGCTGAGAGCAGATGTCGGTTTTCCAATCAATATGTGGTGCATTGAAATCATCCAAGACAAGAAAATGCCCATTGCAGACGTACCTCTTTATGCTGGCCAACAGCTCCAGGACGTGCACCGCCGGTGTGTGGTAGATCACTCCCCCTGTGGTATATCCTCCAGCACAAAGCTTGATTCTGCACCACAGGTCTTCTCCAAATCCGAGTGGACAAAAAGAACAACTTTACCACAGCGACGCAACGATGATCGATCCGTTCGTAACGCTATGTAACCGTGGAGTGATATTTCGGAGTCCCGGAAACCTGGCGTCTCCTAGGCCTCAGTGATTGCAAAAAGATCGGGATTGTGGGATACAACCCAGTCCTCCACCTCATCCGTTTTTCCCAGCATCCCTCAAACACTGGTTGAGGCTAGCACAGCGTAGTTACTTCGCCATTCGCGCCTCAACCTGATCCCCTCCTCAATGGTTAAACAGTCTCCTGTGCCCTTCCTCCGACCAAGGGTAGTCAACGCACCTAAGGGCGCTTCCGATGCGCACACCGATCAATTTCCCTTTTGCACGGCGCTCCCTGAGTTCCTCCAATGCAGTTTTTAGTTTACTGCGCTGGTCCGGATCAAGATCCGTGAGGAACCGCACCGGAGTTTCCTTCAGCTTGTGGGTCCGCTGGAGAACCGCTTTTGCCTCGCCTTCTGCCCATGAAAACCATTTACAGAGGGCTGTAGAGAATTATCCTGGCGAGGTTTTCCAAGCCGGAATGCCGCTTTTACTCCGATTGATACTGATGTTTCCACCTCATCACCATCAAACAAGGTAACCATGTGCGACTGCATGAGCTGCAGTTTGGGGTCCAACTGACCTTGGGCGGTGGTGGCCTCAGCCTCCGGAAGATTGACAACAATCATGCACTGGGAGTTCGGAGGGAGTAACTTCTGCTGCATAGGTTCCTGCCAACCGTGAAGGCACCTATCAGTTGTCGGTGACTGATTATACGCCTCTTGCCTGCATGTCGTGGACGGGGAGCTGAGTCTGTCCGTGGTGCGATGCTGCAGACGATAAACCTGCCCTTATGTTCGGCAGCTTCTGCTGCGGTGCGGTTGCAGGAGCTGCTTTTGTGGGTGGAGTGGCAGTGATATCTGCATACAAAAGGGCCACACTCACCACAGTAGCCGGCATTATGGGGGCTGGGGAGCTTTTTGGAAGTGAAGTTTTGCCCTCCTTGGAAGTAATCATCAAGCACCTGCAGCACGCGATCTTCAGAAATTGAGAAAGACATTTCTGTAGCCATTCGTATTTGCCCGCGTCGGTTTGGGAACCTTTCAGGTTTAGCCACCCATCACATCTATCACAACGGAGCGCTTTGGCCCTGGGGTACACAATCCTAGAGCAGGAAACGTACGTGTTCTTAGTAGCCTTGCTTTTTGAGACATTTCTGATTGAGATAGCTCCAGTTGAATACACAAAAACACAATAAAATAATCCAACTTAGCACACGGTGGAAAAACCGGTGTACCGCAGTAAAGATCAAGGTCAAGGTCAAGTTTTGAAATATACATTCTCATTTCCTCTCTTTCCCGTAAGTGATCACAATTTTTGCTCAATAATTGAATTCCTAGATACCTCCAGTTTTGAAACATTGAGTCTCCTCTATCCAATTCGTTAGAACCGAAAGAAGACAAATACTGCTAGATGTTAACATTTCTTTTAATCCCTTCAGTCGCCACAACGTAAAACAATATGTTATTTATACAAGCTATTTTGATAACTACAGTGGTGAAACGAACAATAGTTAGGGAAGCAGGGGAGGGGGTGGGTTGGGAAATCAGGTCCATGGCAGTTTGACTGATTGAGTAAGAAACTTTTGTGCACACAATATTGGGTTACGTAACTTGATTAGCATCGCCTCGCTAAATGCCAAAATCCTGAGTCTCAAGTTATGTAATACTGGCTTGAACGACATTTGTGGGTCAACGATGTGTCCAGTTGCCATGAGATGTGCTGCGATTGATAACCCTGGATTTCTCCTATCGGTTTGACCTCTAAGACTTTGTTGCGTCATCGATTGTACCAACCACTTGGGAATGTGTTCAGACATCCGTTGTACCAGGAGCTGATTCGTTCTGCCGATGTAAGTGTCACCGCAACTGCAGGTGAACTGGTAGACGATATGTGAAGCAGAATTGTTTGGCTGGTTCTGTTTTCGATTATCTA